CCTGCCCTGCCGGTGAAGGGCGGGCGGGGGGCGGCCGCTCCGCAGGCGGAGGCTGTGTCCCGGCAGCGCTCAGCTCCCGGCCTCCCAGTTCCCCCAGCGCTCAGCTGGGGCCGAGCGGCTCTTCCCTCCCCGGGGGCGCTGGGAAATGTAGTTCTGCAGGGGCCGCTCCAAGGCCGAGCCCGTGGCTGACTGCGCCCCGGATTTTGTTTAACTGCTGGGGTTAGTGAGGCGCTTCCCCCCACGGCCCCCCCCGCTTCATTTCATCAGAATCTCCCGTGCTGGGTTGTGCCAAACGGGAGTTGTTATGAGAACAATGCTACTGCGGCAATTTGAGCTGTTCTAGCAGTTTGTTCCTGTTAGTTTCTCTCCCCTTTTTGCTTTTTTCCTTCCAAGCGTCTCTGTTTTTCGTATCAGTAACATAAAAGCATTGTTTAAAGCGAAGGACTGTACACCCTTAAAGAGGAAACTATGCCAGGAGCTGTACATACCCAAAGGATGGAGCTGTTTAGCGTTCAAGCACCCAAACCCGCAGCTGGATTTGTTGGTGAATAGCTCTGACCAGAAAGCACACTTTGCCAAGACAGATGTCAGAGTAACGACAAATTATTTTCATGCCTTTATAACTGAACAAACAGATTCCTCTCGAGTACTGAAAACATTATTCTGGGCTGGAACTACCTACCTATATTTAGCACAAGGAGAATTTTGTAAACATACAAAAGTAAATGTTTTCAGGGCAGCCTTTTGCTTTTCGGTCATGCATTGAGACATTCTAATCGAGATTTCACATCACATAATTTGAGAGCACAGCTTGTAAAGATAATAAATAGAATATTCAGGGAAATAGCACTCTTGTTGCCGGCGTTGCTTATAAGCAACATTGTTGCTTACAATTGCTTGACTGCTATTGCTGTGCTTCCTGAAACAGAGCAAGCCCAATTTTACTAATCCACTAGGCTAACTGGATTAATGGACAAAACACATCTTCCCTTAATAAGATAAAGGATGGGAATATAATCTCCAAGGGAAGTACCCACCCTGCTGTTAAAACAAGCTAACAGATTTCTTGACCCTATGTGCCCCCAGAAATGGATCTTGCAAGAAGAGCTGGCTTTAGAGGGGAAGCAGTTGAGGGTGACACTTTAGACCTCAAACCTTAGAACTGCCTCTCAACCTTCTTCAGCCCAAAGCAATCGGTCATTCGGTAAATGCACAGCTGTCCATGTGAAGCATTAAAAGCCAGAGCACTGTGCTGCAGTGTGAAGACTCCTTTGAAGGCAGTGCAGGGCTGTATCCTCTCGTTTCTATACGCAACTAAAAAAAATCATGGATTAGCCCCACAGTGTATACCTGGTTTCTGAGCTGTGTGAAGATATGCAGAGAAAATGAGATTAGAGTCGCTTCTGTGACCGGCAGGAAGCCAGGCAGTCTATGAGAGACTCCTTGTGCCTTCTCCAAGGGCCCATACACCTGCCTGTGCCTGCACATTACCCTATTAAATATTTCTGCAGCACATAAGCAGAGAAGATGATTTTGAAAATACAGAGATTTTCTCATCATTTATTCACGCAATTATTTAATTTAAGGAGCACAAATATCAGTTGTCGCTTTGGTACCGAGTTGCTCCCTTGCAAGTGTTTTTGAGCTGGGCTCTGAGTTGGGTGAATTGCATCTATAAACTGTTATTTGACCCCTGCAGATGCCGTACTCCATGCGAGACACAATCCTGTGAGCGAAGTGAAGGCCTGGCCATACAAATGCATCTCTGACAGCTTCCTGTAGCTTACTAATTTGAGCTTTGGCAGGCCACCAGAGGAAGTGAATCCCCGAGACTCTCCTGATGCAAGAGGAGCAAACAAAAGGAGCAGGCAAGGAGGACACAGGCAGTGAGAACAAATACTTGTGATCTGTAACATGGACAAGATTGAAAAATGGGCAAATCTGTGGTCCTGTGTCACTAAGATTTTAATTTTTAAAAAAATCTGGGTTTGTAAAATACTCATATTGGTATCAGCAGTTGGTAAAAGATTTTTCAAGCCAAAAAAAGTGGCTGGAAAATCTAATTCTAGGCTAATAATAGTTATACTAGTAATCTGGCTTTTTCTTGCTGTTCTGTTTTGTGTCTTTCCAACTGCCCCAATAAGCAGAAACAAGCATCAGAATTGCTAACAGCTGGCCCTTGCAGAACAACTGTTAATTGCTTTAAATACATAAAACCAGCAAACTCACATTGAAAACTTATGGTCAAGCCACAGGAAACCTCTTGGTAAAAAAAATATTTCTTTTTTAGGAAGAGCCCAAGGAAAGACAAACCACTTCTTTAAAGAGAAAGCCAATGAGTAGTCTTTCTCTCTGTCATTAAAATTTTAGATGCAAACTAGCCAAATCTGGCTTTTCTCTAAAGTTAGACTTGTATTGTATATTATGTATATGGTGGACTCCTACAGTTTCTCATGCTCAGGATGGGGACCTCGAAAGAAAGAAACTCTAATTTGATCCTGCTGATTACATTCTGTGCTCCTAACACTTGCACAGGTATAGAGGAAACACTTCAACATCTGACTGACATTTTAGTAGGATTTGCTCATTTCAGCTTATTGCGTTATTTTAGCATGTGTGGGTTTTGTCTCTTCCCTCCCTTCTGCTGTTTGTTAGGGAGGACCTTTGAACCATGGCACTGATTTGCTGCACTGCACAAAGTAACTGATGATAGAGGATCCAGCCTCTTGCCTGCAGGTAACGACTTCATTTCCGGAGCAGACTAGCAGCACAGTTTGATGAACACGTGTGAAACTAGATCAAGCTTCATCCCTTTACAAAGGGTAAACCTAAGTTGCTAATATATTTTAAAAAACTAAGCTCAGCGTGATATAAAGATGACTCACCTGTCTCTTAAACGCTACGTGCAGGTCATGGCCTGTTGTCTCTGAAAGGATACTGAGGAACTGGAAAAGGTTCAAAGAGGACAACAAACATGATTAAAAACTTGGAGTCCTTGGTGGGCTCTGATGCTTCAGCCTGTCTAAGGGATAGGTACTAACTGTTTGCTGTCTCATCCTGTGCAGGAACCTGGTTAATCAAATCTAACTAGCTGGAGCCCTGTTCCCAGTGAACAGAGGTGGTTTTTCATGTCCTGGCTAAGGGATGGCACAAGTGCTGGGTAAAGGGTGTTGTGGATGCAAAAGAATTATAGCTCAAGAGAGGAGAAATGCTTACCAAAGAACTCCGTTGAGGGTTACTAAATACACACACCACATCAGGCTGAGAAAATCCCTAAGCTAAAAGTGTTTGGAGGTTGGGACAGTACTCTAGGCAGCACGGGTTAAACAAAGCTTTGGTGTAAGCACTGCAGTTGTGTTCTTATGAGGCCTCGTGCTTCATTCTTGTTTTAGATGGACCTTTCTTTTCATACCCTTCAGCTTAGGGCCTGTGGAGTACTTCTACGGGACTGCTCAGAAGAGATAGCATGTTGTTAGGCTTGTGCTTGCTACAGAGGAGACAGCGTTTCTGCAGAAAACACACAGAGCTGCTTTGCAAATCTTAAAGAAAGTCTGAAAGCCACTTGTTCTGCTGCTGCTCTCTCTCAAGAAGCGTTCCTGTGGCACTTCCAGATAGTAAGTGCTTCTTAACAAGGTGCCAGTGTAACAAATTGCTCTGCTAAGGCTTGCTTGAAGCTGCCCGGCCCCATCAGCATTGGACAGGAGGTGATAACGCCAAGTCCAGGGCACAGCAACTTACAAACAGTCTTGTAATGCAACTGGAAGGTCAGTGACTGTGCTGGAGTTGAGGAAGGCACAAGAAAATGAGTAAATACTCTTTACCTAACTGTCAGAAAGCACTAGTAAGGGGGAGAAACAGATTCACGGAGCAAGATCATGCCCTGACTATTGGAAACGCTCTCGATTTGACTGCTTGCTAGATGCCAAAATCCTGGGCTACTTTTAGCAGAAATTTCGTGGCCTTCAGCCCCATGCTGACCAATACAATACTAAACACATTAATAAACCTATTGTTGTTGTTCTCCACTGTCTGCCTTACTTTCTAAAAATATCTGAATAGTGCAAAAGACAATGAGAAAGCAGTGAATCTCGCTAGAAAGAATCTGAATGCCTCTACAGTGTGTGAGGTTTTGCCAAATCTCTAGAAGCTGCTCTTAAATCTCTAGCTAGATATTATGGACTCTTTGGATAACAGGGCTTTAACTAGATGCCTCAGCTAGAAGCTTGGATATCGTTCCAGTGTT